GGTGAGGCCTCATCTGGAGTACTGTGTCCAGTTTTGGGCCCCACACTATAAGAAGGATGTGGAAAAATTGGAAAGCGTCCAGCAGAGGGCAACAAAAATGATTAGGGGACTGGAACACATGACTTATGAGGAGAGGCTGAGGGAACTGGGATTGTTTAGTCTGCGGAAGAGAAGAATGAGGGGGGATTTGATAGCTGCTTTCAACTACCTGAAAGAGGGTTCCAAAGAGGATGGCTCTAGACTGTTCTCAGTGGTGGCAGATGACAGAACAAGGAGTAATGGTCTCAAGTTGCAGTGGGGGAGGTTTAGGTTGGATATTAGGAAAAACTTTTTCACTTGGAGGGTGGTGAAGCACTGGAATGCATTACCTAGGGAGGTGGTGGAATCTCCTTCCTTTGAGGTTAAGGTCAGGCTTGACAAAGCCCTGGCTGGGATGATTTAGTTGGGGATTGGTCCTGCTTTGAGCAGGGGGTTGGACTAGATGACCTCCTGAGGTCCCTTCCAACCCTGATATTCTATGATTCTAAGGTCTCTTGAGCTCTGCGATTTATCCCCAGTCTCCTTGGGAGTCTTAGCAGACAGTTCCAAAAACATGCTCATCTCAAAGAGCTTCCCAGCCTAAACCTTGGCTCCGTGGCTGTTCCCCTACTGGGGCTTCTTGCCCCAGCCCTGTTGTGTCTGTGTGGCTCCTTCATGTGTATTCTCCTATCCCCAGGTGAACTGGCGACACGCCTCACTGGGTTTTTCCAAGAGGCTTGGAACACATACCAAACCACATAGGAGACAGAGGTTTTATCTTCCCTCCTGTTATCTTGCATGAGAGATGTCTAAATAATGAAGATTTGGGATAGCCAGAGGGGGAAATACTCTTCTAGTAAGCGGCTCACACGAAAACCTTAGAGAGTGATAACTGGAGATAGACCAACATCAGAGTAGCAAGGCTGTGGCGCAAACGTTTTCACCTCGCTGCTTTCTCCTGCCATGGTTTGGTGTCCGTGTCTTCCTGAGCAGCTGGGACAGGGGCGTCTGCTGCTCCAGCAGGGCTACAACAGGTCACTTGCACATCTCTTGTGAAGGGGGCAATGCACGGCTGCCCTGGCTCTGTGGGGCACTACTCATTAGGCTGGCAGAGGAGGGGAGCTCAACAACCCCACTTTCTCTTTACCTCTTTCCAGGTGATTAGTGCAGCAGTGTCTGCTCAAAGGGAGCTCTCACTGTGATCTGTCTGTGCACAGACTGGGCACGCAGAGGAGAAGTCCTGAATGCCCCCAGCTCCCAGCTGCGGAGGGATTGCACAGAGCAATCGGAGCCATTTCTCTCTTGAATCTAAAACAGGGACTTCTCAAACTTCATTGCACTGCGACCTGCTTCTGACAACAAAAATTACTACACGACCCCAGGAGGTGGGACCGAAGCCTGAACCCGCCCGAGTCCCACCACCCCAGGTAGGGAAGGGGTCAAAACAGAAGCCCAAGGGCTTCAGCCCCAGCCAGGGGGCCTGTAACCTGAGCTCTGCCACCCAGGGCTGAATCCCTCGGGCTTTGGCTTGGGCCTCAAGCCCCAGCAAGTCTAAGCCACCCCTGAAGACCCCAGTAAAATGGGGTCATGACACACTTTGGGGTCACGACCCACAGTTTGAGAACTGCTGATTTAAAAGATCTGATTGTATTTTACAAAGTACAGTCCCTCTCCCTGCCTATCCTGGCCAATCCAGCTGTCTAGACATGGTGGGGAATCTCTGGCTTTGGGAGCTGGGTAACTAGCTCCCATCAGTGCCTTTGAAAACCACACCCAAAATGTCTTTACCTCTGCTGAGCTTTAGAAGTAATAGCCATAACAACATGGCACATGGCTCCATATCCGCAATGGAACAAAATGCACCTCTTGGAAACGCCGGAGCAGGTTCTGCTCTGAGCAACATTCTGGCCATCTCCTTGACTTCACTAAGGTTACACCCATAAAACAACTGGGAGCAGAATTTGGCCCACGAAATACTGAAGAATAGGTTAAATACCACATGTGAGATTAGCAAAATATCCCCAGCCTGTACTGGAGGCAAGAGGAAGAAGTTTAAAGGAGGTGTCCAAAGGGGAGGCAGTGTGGGCTAGAGGCTAGATAACAGAATGCTCCCTCAGCGCCCCACAGCGCAAGGGGCGAGCTCCCACTGCTACACCTCTTTTGTGGAGTGCAGCGCCAATCGACCAGCCCTGCCCTTTCGGGGACAAGGGGTGCCCCCCAGTGGTGCAGTCAGGAACTGTGATTGCAACAGGCCAGGGGAGTGCATGGGCAGAAGCTCTGGGCACTCTCCTTATCCTCACACCTGCGCACCCCAGGTAGGAGCCAGGAAGAAAGGAGGAGACGCAACAAGGGGGCTCCTTGGATCAGTGGACAAAGCAACGAATCTCCAGCCGCAGAGGCGGTGCCTAACTGGTAATTCCCTGCGAGGGCAGGAGATGAGGGAGACAAAGAGAGGGGAAGGACAGTGTGGGGAGCTTCCTCAGCCTATTTCCATGCTGTGCCTGTTTCCTGGATCAATGGTCTCCTGCACTTTGACACTATCAATTTCCCCTGCTGTCGAGCTCTGCACAGGAGAGGTGGCAGAGAGCCAGCGGGGCTGGGTTATGCCGGGTTGGCCTGAGCAGGAGGCTGGTGTAACTTATGCTGCTGTCACATGGTTCCTAGGGGCTTTGTGGAGCGCCTCTCTCCCATCTCCACCAGCTACTTTACAGCTAGACTCTGTCCCCTTGGTGCTGCCTGAAGGGCATCGGGAATCTGGAGCAATGTACGTGCCAGTCCAAGGAAAGGTGTCACCTGGGGCTTGAAACCAATCCGGACAATGGAATAGCTGGAGCCTGCTGACCAGTGGGCGGCTCTTGGCCATGAATGCGAGATTCCTTGATGCCTCCATCATGTAATCGTCGCAGCAAACTGCTCCGGCTTTGCCTGCCACGCACACAAACCCCGGACAGTGGGAAATGAGCTCTACGCACAGAGATTTCTCTTCTCCCAGCTGGTCTCCGATGCTTTTCCCCTCTGTTTTACACTGGGTGTTATGGTTTTTGGGGGCGGGGGGAGGGGGGATTAGGGGAGACTGTAAACCATGAAGGTTCCATCTGGTCCACACTGACATCATCCAAGCAAACAGTTGCACGTAAAGAACTGCCAGAAGCAGGCCCTAGGCAGGGCTGGTGATCAGATACCATGGTGAGGGGCCCACATGGAACACTTGGACAGACAGCAGAGACGTCATGTTGACGGCAGCCTCCCGTCACCCCATGTGCGACTCAGCTTCCTTTCACTGATCTATAATGTGCCTGTCTGAAAATCTAACCTAGCCTCTCTTTTTCTCGGTACGTGCCCCACACCCACGGCCATGTTAACCGAGTACCTCGTGGTTCCATTATAAGTACACACTGACACGTCCAGTGGAAATCTGGAGGAGACCACCCCCCCCGCCCCAAGCCACCAGTACCAAAGTCTAACACCCTCCTCCCTGTTCTGGGTGCCTCAGGCTCTGTCGGTCCAAATGCAAGGGAGAGTGTTTCCTGAGAACGCCTTGCCCCCAGCCCTCTGGGGAGCACACCTAGGGACCATGGCCCAGCTCCTCAAAAGTATTTAGGCCCCAGTGGGAGTTAGGCACCTAAATACCTTTGAAGATCTGGGCCCAGCAATTTGTCTGCAGTATCTAAGCAGCTTCCCGCTAAGCACGGAAAACGCCCTGTCTCTCTGAGTGACACTTTTATGACAGGACACGTCCTCTCTGTTTATTCCCATGCCCTTCCCCTTCTTTCGTTGGGTTCTGCCCAAGGCCAGCACAGCGGGAGAGGTTTCTGTGCAACTGAGGGCAAGAAGCCGCCTCCTCAGACATTTTGGAGCCCTGATTTATTTGCTTGTTTGTTTGTTTTTCACATGAGGCCAGTGTATGGTCCATTAACCCCGGGCTGTTCACAGGGCAGCTACATGGACTCCTGGGCGAGGCTTTTCGCTCTCTCCCGCAGTTCAGCAACACCCCAGTGCCGGTAGCTAGGAGCAGTCCTGTTTTCTGATGGAGTTCCTGTCCTACAGCAGGATCCATGCCTGACTTACAAGAACCTTGGAGTCTATGCTAATGCTAGCCTGCCTGCAGGACAGACTATACCGGAGAATTTGTCTGTTTTGTCATCGTTATTATTATTAAGAATCATGGTTATTACAATAGTGGCTAGGGACCAACCAAAACCAGGGCTCTATTGCGCTAGATATTGTACAGCCGAAGCAAGAGACAATCCTTGAACTGTCGGGTGGCATGAAATGCTGGTAAAATACCTTGGCCAAGATTTTGCAGACCTGGCCACTGATTTTTTAACCGGCCTTAATTTTTGGGTGTCCAGCCTGAGACACCTTAGAAGGCCCTGATTTCCAGACGGTGGGAGAGTGAGCAGGGATAGCGCGTGAGGTGTTGACAGCTGGGTAGCTGAGGCTGACAACTGGTGAACAGTTAGGTGCATACTCGGGGGGCAGTGACGTGATAAGAGACCAGGACAGAGCAGCAGATCATGAGAAAGGGCATCATGCCGTACCCCTGTGGGGGTGTAGCCAGTGCGTTCGGGGCATGGTCCGGCTCCCCAACCTGGTTAGCAGCTGTATGCATGCCAGGCCCTACAGTCTGTGGGGGAATAATGGAGCTGGAGAGCCGTTAACAGGCTCTGAGACCCAGTGGAATGGCTCCGTCTCAAAGCGCTTTTCTCCAGGGCCTGCAGTTACAAGAAGGAAGCAAAATAATAGAACACGAAGCAGCAAACAGGCTGCAGAACACGCCAGCTCCTTCCAGTAACTCCACGTTTAATTGGAACTCCCCTCCGAGGCACACTCCCCATCCCCCACGCACCTGTGCCAGGGGAGGCTGTGGCTGCGCTTAGCCCCTGGGCCTGGCATGGATACACACATCGCCCATGCTGGCTCCGCACAGAGCCCTTCGCAGAGGGCATTATTCCCCGCCGAAGAGAAAACGGGCGACTCACAGGGTTTCCAGGCTGTGCAACCCTTCGAAGCTGTTGATCCCCAGGCTCTGGATCCGGTTGTTGTGCAGATGCCTGCAGAGAAAACGGAGAGGCTTAAAGGGGGCCGAACTCAACTGGCCTTTCTCCAGCAGTCCCTGAGCGGCGACTATGCAGGGGTGCTCGGAGAGCTGAGTGCGGCTGAGCACGCGAAGGGCACCGGGGCAGGAAATACACCTTGCAGAGACTCGCTAAACCACTAGGCTCTCAGGATGGACACAGGGTGCCGCAAACAAGAGCGAGGTATATAAAAGCCAGGGCTGGCGTTTAGGGGGTGGCAAGCAGGGCAATTGCCCGGGGCCTCACACCACAGGGGGCACCACGAAGCTAAGTTGCTCAGGCTTCGACTTCAGCCCCGGGTGGTGGGGCCCCTGGCTGAAGTCCCACGCAGCTGGGCTTTGGCTTTCTGCCCTGGGCCCTAGCGAGTCTGAGGCTGGCCATGCTTGGAGGAACCCCCGAAACCTGCCTGCAGCCCCCCAGGGAATGCCAGATCCCTGGCTGAGAACCACTGAGGTGGATGATACAGCATAGAGCCCACGTTCAGTGGCCTATTTTCTTCTTAGTAAGTGGGTGTGCTCTCCGTTCTCTCTAACGAACGTTCTCTCTACCACAGTAGGCCCCGTTCTGGGTGGAGGTTCTTGGAGCCCTTTTCCCTTCAGGAGAAAGGCACAGAAGTGAGTCTGAGCGAGCTGGAGGGGTCTAAGCCAGTGTTACCGAGACACTTGGGACTAGAAGCTAGTGTGTGTTACAGCAGCTCAGCACGCTCCCATGCACCACCTCTGAATCTGGCCCTTTCTGGGACACCGTCCTGTGAACTGCCTTTCCTGCCACACATTCAGTTTGCACAAATGACACTCAGTTTGCACAGCCACTCAGTGCCAAGCTGCACAACTGCAACACGGACAAAAGAGCTTCCTGCCCAGCTCATGCATCGCATGCAACGTGCACCACTGTGGGATCTACAGCAGAGATTTCCCAAGCTCCTTAGTGGGTTTTCCCACTTCATTTGACTAGGAAGCCCTGGGCTTTGAAAAGCTCAAGCCAACACTGCTAACACATGTTGGGCCCTATGCGATCAAGCACCTTCAACAACCATTCATAGCTTCAGGCCCCATGGGTGGATCCAAGTAGACTAAGCAAAGGCCTCCTTCTTCTGCAATGAATGTTACAATACCGATGGTCCAAAGCCCTGTCCTCATTCGCATCCCCCGCCCCACTGATCTCAATGCATGGGTGGATTTACTTAGAAGTGTTTAAAAAAAAAAAAAGACAATAAAACCTCTGAGCCCCATGAGTCTTGGTCTTTTAGTTCAATGCCATGATGTCTACAGTCACAGCTTTATTATCTTATGTTAGTGATCAATGGCTCCATGTCTAGTTGGCAGCCGGTATCAAGTGGTGTGCCCCAAGGGTCGGTCCTGGGGCCGGTTTTGTTCAATATCTTCATAAATGATCTGGAGGATGGTGTGGATTGCACTCTCAGCAAATTTGCGGATGATACTAAACTGGGAGGAGTGGTAGATACGCTGGAGGGGAGGGATAGGATACAGAGGGACCTAGACAAATTGGAGGATTGGGCCAAAAGAAATCTGATGAGGTTCAATAAGGATAAGTGCAGGGTCCTGCACTTAGGACGGAAGAACCCAATGCACAGCTACAGACTAGGGACCGAATGGCTAGGCAGCAGTTCTGCGGAAAAGGACCTAGGGGTGACAGTGGACGAGAAGCTGGATATGAGTCAGCAGTGTGCCCTTGTTGCCAAGAAGTCCAATGGCATTTTGGGATGTATAAGTAGGGGCATAGCGAGCAGATCGAGGGACGTGATCGTTCCCCTCTATTCGACATTGGTGAGGCCTCATCTGGAGTACTGTGTCCAGTTTTGGGCCCCACACTTCAAGAAGGATGTGGATAAATTGGAGAGAGTCCAGCGAAGGGCAACAAAAATGATTAGGGGTCTGGAACATATGAGTTATGAGGAGAGGCTGAGGGAGCTGGGATTGTTTAGCCTGCAGAAGAGAAGAATGAGGGGGGATTTGATAGCTGTTTTCAACTACCTGAAAGGGGGTTCCAAAGAGGATGGCTCTAGACTGTTCTCAATGATAGCAGATGACAGAACGAGGAGTAATGGTCTCAAGTTACAGTGGGGGAGGTTTAGATTGGATATTAGGAAAAACTTTTTCACTATGAGGGTGGTGAAACACTGGAATGCGTTACCTAGGGAGGTGGTAGAATCTCCTTCCTTAGAGGTTTTTAAGGTCAGGCTTGACAAAGCCCTGGCTGGGATGATTTAACTGGGAATTGGTCCTGCTTTGAGCAGGGGGTTGGACTAGATGACCTTCTGGGGTCCCTTCCAACCCTTATATTCTATGATTCTATGATTCTATGATCTCTTGCTTGCAGAAAGATGGAAATACTTCCAGATTTAGACTTCTGGATTTACTCCAGTTTGACTGCAATCGAGGTTATCTTCAGTTTAATGCTTTAAAAATGTCTAACCCCGGAGCCGAGTGGCTAACGTGACATTCTGGTGTGCATTATCCACACTGAATCAACAAAGCTTACCCGTTTTTCTCCTCTCTTCATTGTCTTTTGTCCCAGTGCCACGTATTGTGCAGTGGGTGTGTTATTTCTGATGCTCGAGGGCCCATGCATTATGAAGCCCTTCTGGGCTAATGCTGCTGCTGGAAATCCTTGTGCCATCTCTATTGTAAGGGCAGTAAAGTCTCCGGTGTTACATCTGTCCTTGAGAGCCCAGGCATGGTACAGTCCCATGGGTTCCCATTGGGATGTCCTGTGTGTTATTTCTGTGGCCATGTCTACACTTCAGGGACTACAGAGGCACAGCTATGTCACTGTAGCCACACCAGTATCACCCCATCGGGTAGACCTAGCTTCCAGGCTCTAGGAAAACCACTTCCCTGAGTGATGGTAGCTAGGTCGATGGAAGCAGTCTGCGATTGGCCTAGCTGTGTCTACCCTGGGGCTAGGGCATCATAGTTACAGTGTTCAGAGGGGTGGATTTTTCACAACCCCAAGTGCCGGAGCTATATCAACCTACATTTGAAGTGCAGGCCAGGCCTCTCTCTTCGTTTCTGGCAAAACCAGGATCTGTGTTACTGGATTCTTCCTTCCAAGTTGTCAGCGGCTGTCTGAGTGTGTGCATGAGTGTGCGCGGGTTTTAGCCACCTGACTCCCTTTCCAGGCAGTGAGTGCCCCCCTGGCTGAACCAAGGCACAGCACTCCAGAATCCTACTCCAAGGATCTTTTCAGTCCAGACAGATGGATCCCGGGTGCCCCGGAGACATGCTGTAAAGCAGAGAAGGCAACACCCAGGGGACACCCAGACTGTGAGTCCTTGCTCACCTGAGTAGTGCCCTTGATTCCAGTGGGGATCCTCACATGAGTAAGGACTCACCAGCCTAGTAGCAGCTCAGGGGGACAGAATATTTGCTGTGGTCCACTTCAGTAGATCGGTCCATTTTATGTGCCTGGGGCCTCGCCCCTGATAAATACCAAGCCCCTCACATTCAGACACAGACAGACTCTGCATCCGCTGTGATTTAAAGCATTAATCTATTACCATCGATCTATTCTCCAACCTATGGTGTCCTGGAATACAGCCTCTTTAAAATGGCCTGGGGCCGCGCTAGCAGGTGGATCAATGACATTGGTGTTTCTTGTGCTTGCTCTAAATCTGCCTTGGCTCAGAGAAAAAATTCTCTCCCTGCACCTGGATTTGAGTGCAGGAAGTATCACCGAGCGCACACTGTTCCCAAAGCCAAATATTCCACGGTAAAAGCAGGAGGGTTTAGGAGCCGGGGAGGAAGCAGGCTCTGCGTGGTAGTTAAATGAAGGGCTGTGAGGATCGGAGCGCAGTTTGGAAACCAGCTTGACTCTCCCAGAAAAGCACATTTCCATCCAGTGATTCAGATGAGAACACACAGATTCTGGGGAGACACGAGGGTGGGGCCGTGCAGCAAAATTTACTGTCTGCTCCCAGAGGTAAGTGGGGGAGAAGAAAAAGCAGCTGCAAGAAAACTTGGCTCAATTGTGATTCTCCGAGGAGGAGAAAGATTTAGATAAAACTCCAAGTCAGGAGATTAGAGGAGCTATTTCTCTTTGTCACAAAAAAATATGTTCCCCGTCCAGATGGTTTCCTCCGCCACATTTTATGGGGCATTTTCAGATCAAGTTGCCCTTACATCACTTTGGGCTTTCACACTAAGATGACGCCAGTCATTTGAGTCCCTCTGACCCTGGATAATGCTCTCACCAAGCCAAATGTTTGGATCTACTGTAGCTATTGCCTCACTGCATGTTCCCAGGGACGGGGGAAGCCAAAAGAGTGAGGTGCAAAACAAAACCCCCAATCCTCTAGTGCATCTGTTCATTTGAAATGACAAGCATGGGCATGAGGAAACAGGAAAGACAGGGCTTGCAATTCAGGTAGCAGGGACAACATTTCTAGACTGTTCTCAGTGGTAGCTGATGACAGAACAAGGAGTAATGGTCTCAAGTTGCAGTGGGGGAGGTTTAGGCTGGATATTAGGAAAAACTTTTTCACTAGGAGGGTGGTGAAGCACTGGAACGGGTTACCTAGGGAGGTGGTGGAATCTCCTTCCTTTGAGGTTTTTAAGGCTCGGCTTGACAAAGACCTGGCTGGGATGATTTAGTTGGGGATTGGTCCTGCTTTGAGCAAGGGTTTGGACTAGATGACCTCCTGAGGTCCCTTCCAACCCTGATATTCTACAATTCTATGATTCTAGATGTGCAGGGTCTGCAGCTGTGGACCTCGTTTCCCCTGGGATCCTGTCCCAAATTACTCACCTTCCAGGCCTGGCATGTGACGTATTAAGTAGCATTCCCTAGGAGGGGCTGGCAGAGAGCCGTACAGAATGCAGAGCTTTCATTTGGACAGACAGGTTGGGGAAATGAAGGTCTTGTTATGGATCCTCTCTCATCTCAGGCAGTCTTAACAGAGGCATCCTGGCCAGTGTTCTACACCTTTACAGGGCATCACAAAGAGAAACAAATAG